AAATACTCTCAGTGTGGCCCCCAGGAAAGTCTTGGAGGAAGCAACTGCTGGGAACACAGGGTCCTGGGACCATGCCCAGGAGACTTTGCTGGGCCAGAAAGTGCAGTAAGTCTCTTCAATGAGAACTGATGGAGTCAGTCTCTGTGCCCAGTGGGGCCCATGAGAACCCCATGCAGGACTCAAGGACAGCTCCACAGCGACCCCTGCTGGGGACTGCTCCATCTTCAGTTTCTGCAATGGTCCTTAGCTTTCTACCCCGTCGCCAGGACACCTGTGTGGAGCCCACGCTCAGCTCCAACTTCACGAAACTGAATGCACCTTCTGTCATGTACAGAAGCAGCCCAAACAGACCTGACCGTTGTCAAGAAAGGGTGGATCACGTGGGTGTGAGTTGTTGTTAGTTGTCATTGAGTCCATTAGAATGAGAATCTCTAAAACACAGATGGAATATATGGCACAGTGAGAGCATCTCCCCACCTGGGACATGTAGAGTCTTGTCAACAGAGGGTCCTTTAAGTCCCACAGAGGTCTGGCCTGGAGGACACAGCATTTGTTCGCAGCCTTCCATCTCTTACAGGTTGATGGTTGCCCAGAGTGTTGACGCCCTCCTCGTCCATTCTGTGCTTTTGTGGGGGCTACAGAGCTCAGATCAGCATGGGTACCATGTTTAATCTCCCGAACACTGAGTCATCCACGACCTTCCTACAATGTCCCTGCAGTGACCACGGTACTGCTCTGCCTGCTGCTGAGGCCCCTCGTGTTCAGACCCGTTCTCCTCCACCCCCCGCCCTCGTTCTTCCTCACCCCCAGACAGCAGCTCCCTGAGCTCCGCTTCTCCTCAGTGTGTGGGCGCCACCTGCATCCCCAGGGTCAGGGCTCTCCCTTGCTGTGCCCTGGCCTGGCCCTGGACGCTGCAGTTGTCCATTCACTTTTACAACCAGCACTGAGGCTCCAAGATGCACCCAGTGAGGGTTCTGCCCAGTGCAGGTGCTGCCTACATCTGATCTTGGTCCTCTCCTCACACTGGACACTGGTCTCCATGGTCTCAGCCCCACTGAATACATTTATTCCCAGGGACATAAGACCTCCTTCTCTGTGTGGTTTTTTCTGTGGGTGATGTTCACAGTGAGTCCAGGTGAGTCCTGGGTCTCTGTAAACCCTTGTCTGGTGTCTTCTGACCTAAGGATGAGACTTTGCTGGGCCAGAAAGTGCAGTAAGTCTCTTCAATGAGCTGAATTGTCGGTGAGCCCCTTTCATCCATGTGCTGAGTTCTTTCAGTTGCCCCCACTTTACACTTCAGCTGCTTTCTCAGTCTCCTCCACACCCACCCAGTCCCTGTGACTTGTGTCTCTCACTAGGCCCTGCAGTGTCCACAGCCGTTTACATGTTCACATGATCACTGGGTACCAAGCAGCTTTCTGGCCAATGTGGGGGGGTGGAATACCACTCTCCATTGAAGAGATTGAGAAACCAAAAAGCCTGCGTATTCTCAGGTGGGGCTGACCACTCCTCATGTAGACATGGGTCAGTAGCCTGTGGTTCTAATCACCTCCACAGGGGTCCCTTTAGAGGAAATATTAGTGCTGTGTGGATGTGGACTTTCTAGCTTGCAGGTGAACACTTCAGGTGTGTGATGAACAAGAACTAGAAACGTATAAGACAGAGAAAGGCACCAAGACAAACTGTTACTCAGGCCAATGAAAGGTGACAGCACCTGAGAGAGGCAGGATGATTTGTGGGTGAGGAACTTGCAACCCTAAGGGGCAACTTCACAAAGAAGAATGTTCATAGAGCAGATGTGTTTTCTTCAGAGAGGATTTCTGAATTTAGGATAAGAGGCCCACAGGAAAGAGACACAGAAACAGGGAATGTGTGCAAGTTACCTAGATGGTTAAGGCACCAGCCAACATGAAGCTCACAAAAGATGGTCCCAGGAAAGGGAAATGGGAGGAGCTAGATGTTCAGTCCAAGGAGCGTCCGGACAGCGGCTGAGACGCGTCTCCACTGCCGACCTCACATGTTGAGGAAACCACGTGTGGGCTTGGTTCACACCGTCCACTGGATGCTCACTGTGTGGTGGAGCGATGAGAGCTAATTAACATGGAAGAGGTGACAGTGAGCTAAGGGGTGGGTCTCCCTCAAACTCTTAGGCTCTGAGCAATCATTTTTATCAAGTTGAAGGGATTTCTTAGAGTTTTAGTCTCTTCTTTCCATTTTGTCCTCATGGTGATGCTGTCTGCAAAGATTGTGAACTGCAGGAGCACATGAGTTTTATGTCACCTTTCCAAGCTCAGAACCGGAACCAGAGCTCCTGAGACAGGGCTGCATATTCTCACTGGTCTCCTTCCAGCCCCAGGGGAAGGAGGACACATTCCTTTTGTCATAGGTCCTTCCCATGCCCATCCTCTGCTTGGTGTTTGTCACAGGCAGGTGGGCTACACAAGGGGAGGCCTGTCCTCCAGATGCAGGAACTTGGGAGTGACGGATGATGGTCATGGGGCAAAATGAATAAACATGGCTTCTTTCCAAAACATCTGAGGTCACACCTATGAGCTCACAGAGACAGACACACAGTCAGCCCTGCAGCCCCAGCCCAGGATCCCACAGTGTCTGAGATGAGAGGACACGATCTGCCAGGGACAGAGAGGTTTCTGCCCTCAGTGCTGCCTGGCCCACTGCCCACACCCCACGAAGGAGAAGTCCACATCTGGGCCTTTGCTAGGCTGTAGCCTTGTGACCACAGCTCAGGTCATGACTGAGCGCCTTGGCTCCCTCTCTGTGCGTCATCCATGGTGCTCCTTGGATTGTTTCTGTTATTGCTGTTTGTGGGGAGGGGACTCAGAAGCCATCTTCAGTGGATGGAGCACGGGCAAAGGCACCAGTGGCCTCTGAGTTTGCGAGGCCTGAGACAATTCCTCTTTCTCTCTCTCTCTCTCCACCTAACCCTTTCCCAAGTTGGGCCATTTTCCTCTCAGTATCACCCCCCCAACACACACACACACCGTGCACAAGCACACAGTAACAACCCCCCACACACACACACACACCGTGCACAAGCACACACTGAATTCACAGATGGGGACAATGATCCTTGAATTAGAGGAGAAGCAGACACGGAGAAAGTGACAAGAGAAAATAGGGAAGTGATTAGATGCAGCTCTGCCATGGGGCGGGGGCATACAGTCTCCTAGCAACTGGCTTATAGGACTACAGCTTGGGGAGGGGAGAGATGCCAGGTTCATGGAAAGAGAAAGCCCAAGGTTCCCGTGGGCCTTATAAGCCAACCTCATCCCACGGCAGCCTCCAGAGAAGTGGGTCTGGGTTCCAGCAGTCCAGCGGTCTGGGCACCTGGATATAGTGTAAACCCCTCCCTAGTGTGGAGGGGCCCAGATGAATGAAAGCCTCAGTTACCTCCTCTCAACCCTGAGGTGTTTGGACTCTGTGACCCTGCATGTTTCACAAGCTCAGAGAAGAGTCTGTAGGCCTTGGCTCTGCACTGATGAGTCACTGCATTCTGTGGGCCTTGGACAATGTTTCTATACCCAGGGTTCATCCGGAGCATAGAGAGACTTGGGATTTGGGGAGCTGAGGAATCGGGATAGGACCTATGTGAGTTAATCCATAGAGGATGGTAGAATGGCAGCCACTATGGCTCCAGTGAACTTGGTAGGAGAAGACCAGAGGGCAAGAGCTGGGCAGGCCCAGATCCTGTGGCCGGTAACCTGTATGGGTTACCTATTGTTCCATGAAAACATTACCCCAAAATCTGGAGCACAAAACAACAAACATATATTTCAGTTTTTGTTGTTCAGAATTTAGACACGGTCTAGCTTGGAGCCTCTCTTTCAAAGTTGCTCAGAGTCTGGGCTGTGATCTCAACTGAGCCTTGACTGGGGAAGGATCCACTTCCAAGCTCACTACCATGCTCCTTGTAGGATTTGATTTCTTTTAAGCTTTTGGGCTAAGAGCTTCAGTTCCTCTGGACTGTTGCCCGAGACGCTCCCTTGGTTTTGTGCCATATGGCCATTTCCATAGGGCAGCTCATAACGTTGTGATTTGCTTGCCCAGAGACAAGGAGTGAGAGAGAAAGGAAAGACACCGCAAACAGAGAGAAAGGTGGAAATCACAGACCTTGTGGTCTATTCTATGCTATAGAAGCCAGTCAGTAAGGCCAATCTCCACTCAAGGTCAGGGGATAACACAAGGATGCATCCACCAGGAGGTGAGGACCTGGTCAATTGATGCACAAGGTGACATCAATTTCTGTGAGATGAAGACTTGGGTCTGATTCCAGATACAATGGAAATGACTGAAGGCTTAGCCAAGAAGATGAGGGTTTCTTACTTTCATTTGGGGTCCATCCTTTCCTGGTGTTGACTGAAGAATGAAGCCAAGAGCAGAAGGAGCTTTCCCAGTGCCGTCCTGCCAGAACTCAGCCCTGTGAAGTCATAATCCAGGCGGCTCTCCTCCTTTTTATAATTCTTCATCTCTAAGCATGAGCATTGTCTTCACTTCACACCTGTCCATGGGTTTTACTGTGCAGTTGGGGAAACTCGGGAGACTTTGGGAAGCACAATAACCTGTATGATGTCACGGAAGTGGGGAGAGGGAGGAGCTAGACCTGAACCCAGCCCTGTCTACTCAAAGCTTTGCTCCAGGCTGAATACAGGTTTGCCTGGCAGTGTGTGGAAAGGGTTATGTTGTCTTATCTGTGTACAATTACAGAGATGGCATAGGAGATGAGTGTAAGCCCAAAGGGGCCTTAAGAGATGTCTTGTCTTAGAAGATAAGACAGGTAAGGAGGTCTGGTTAGTAACCTCATTTCCCTGGTGATAGAGCCCAACACAACTTGGAAATCTAGAAACCAGTCTCCCACATTCTATACTATGCTCCCTACCCAGCTCACATGTGTGACGACAACTCTGTCTTTCTCTCTTGATTCTTATAGACGCCTGGCTGAAGCCATCCTATTAGGGAACCAGAATGTTTCTCTGCATCTGATGGACATGCGTCTCTGATTGTGACAGATCACAGGATCCCTGGTCCAGAACATAAGTGCAGCAGTCATTGGAGAGGCTCAGAGTCAGGGCACTAGGAGGATCGTGGAATGAGTGCTTGGGAAAGTAAATAGCCATCACTGAATGGTGTCCTATCAAATGTATTTACTGGTGACTGAAGGGGACACTGGGGGAATGACAGTGTTAGAAAAACTGTTCTTTGATGTTGAGAGCACAGAGCAAGTGTGAGGCCCAGCACAGCTCTGCCTTAGATCAGGTGCAGTGCCCAGGCAACACACAATACGATAGGGCAGGGAATGAATGTTCATTGAGTATCTGAAAGTCAAAGTCAATGACCTTCCAGTATTTGTATTTGCTAAATTTCAGTACCTTCCGTGGGCGTGGAGCACACCCTCCTAATCCATGATCCATTGTCTGCGAAGTGATCAGAGTAGTCCACAGACTGAATAAGGTCACGCAGTTGAGGACTTCAACACTATTGTGAGGTAGCCATTGTACTAAACACAAATATAGATGTGGACACACTGACATGCAAAGCAGAAATGTGAGCCCACTACCATCTGTGACCTTCTGATGGACACACAGACCCTCACTGGAAGGACGTGGAAGGAACAGTAGCATTTTTTTTTTTCTACTGAGAGACCAACAGATCTGGAGAGAGGATGGATGAGAGAGAGGTATTTTATTTTTATTTTTAATTTGGAAGATCTTGCATGTATTCCCTACATCAGGAAAAAAATTTTAAAAAAGCAAAAATTGATTCACTACATGTGAATACAATGAAACCAAGAATCACATCTCATTCACCAGACACAGCAGGCATCCTCCGATGTGCTACTTTAGGGGCCCAGGGAAATGATTGAACTGCTTTTATTATAAGAAGAAAAAGAAAGAACCTTTCATTAGATTGTATTGACATGTAGTCAGAAAAGATATCAATATTTTTTGGAAATGGTCCCTGAAGTCAAAGAGGCTTGTTGTTACCTGGCATCATTTTGACCCCCAGCCCATGGCGATCCCACG